GGCCATCACTGTGTGAATGTGGCATGTAGTGGGAAAGTGCTTTGAGTGGTTGGAAGACTAGAAAGGTGCTATACAAGTACAGTCCATTTAGCACTTATTCTGGTTGGTCTCGGCTGAGTCTAAAAATATGTGTTTGTTTGTTTTTCTGAAGTAACTTTGTCCCTCAACAAAACCATTGATGATCCGCTGCTTGCTCAGAAAACGGATATTGGTGTAATACAAAATCCATCTAGAACAGGCACTGACAATTAGTAACCATGGTTCCCAGGAGGCCAGTCAATGTCACTTGCAATCGTATGCCTGGCTGCCAAAACTAACCTCCTTGGCAGTCTTTTTTTCTGTCTCGGTCTGTCCCTGTCCTTTGGCCTCGGACTTGTCTTTGGCTCAAACGTCTTTGGACTTGGTCTTGACTAGTCCTGGTCTTGGACTCAATATAGGTGGTCTTGACTAGTCCTGGTCTTGAACTCGATATAGGTGGTCTTGACTTGTCCTGGTCTTGGACTCGATATAGGTGGTCTTGACTACTGCACTGCCCACGTCCTTGGCTGAGATGTCTTTCCGAGGCATCCACTGGTTGGTATCAGTGGATGTCATGCTAGCTTGTCAGGAAGGGGGATAAATAATGCTCCAAAGTTAGGATACATTTTGGCAAGGGAAAACTGGCATGGCCATTTTCAAAGGGGTTCTTTGACCTCTTCTTTGGGTACCCATAACGAGTATTTAATTATTTTTATTTTTTATGGTATAATTACTCTGAGTCAATGAAACTGTGATATTTGTTCTTTTGAAGATACTTGCATTTCACCAGCAGTCACAGTGAAACAATCAGAATTTAGTATTTGATTAAACAAAACCATCAGAGAAATAGTCAGCTTCAGGCTTTAACAGCATCTCACTAGCAACTCTTGCACCAAAATTTAAAGATTTCCTTTAAATGGGAACGAAAGAATTGCTACAATTCTGAGAGGTACATTGACTAACATTATCTGACTAGTTGATCTTAAAGCCTCTAGATATATTGTGTTTTATCCTTTTTTAATCTATTATTTTTACTTGTCTACTGTCTGGCCCTCATCAACAGCAGTGCCCAACCGTTCACCTTAAAGCTCCCGGTGTTGTGTAATGCTGCACATTATTCATTTCACACAAAATTTCCATGAGGTGTTTTAGCTAAACTGTTCTACATTAAACAAATACCAAAGTGTCCCAAGGGGTTTGTTCAAAGGATGCATGCAAATTATTAAACTCTTAAATTTGGAGTGACTTTGGCTCTTGTTGTGGGAAACCGCCTCAGAGCTGAACAGCAGTTCAACGTTTTTATTGCAGCAATAACAGATAACAAAGCTGTCACTGACTGAATGGCTGAATCCAATCAAAAATGACTATTATGGGTTCATACATAACAAAAGTGACAATGATCCATCTGATGACTTCTATATACGATAATGCGAGTAAAATATCTCACCAACTATTGGTTAAATTCCCCTTAAAACATAATGATCCTCATTGGTTGAATGCAAATGATGTAAGTAATCCGCTGACTTTCATTAAAGCGCCACCAGCAAATCAATATTTCCACATCCACACTTCCGTCCAACCCTTATGTAAAGAGACCGAAAAGCAAAGTTTCACTGACTTCTTCTGGTTGGAAGTCTGTTACTGCAGACTTTGTGTGCGCTCTGCTGCACCTGACAGAGATGCAGAGGTGCACTAAACACACCTTGAGTGAATTCCCTGCAGCAGGATACAGGATTTTGAGCTGGTGTTAAATAACTCTTTAAATTCATAAACTAGTAACAGGTTTCTCAGCTGTACTTTGAGTTTAATGCTAAGAGCATGGAAACGTGTTCATATTAGCAAGTCAGCGTGCTAACTTTACCCTGACAGGGCAGCTAGCGTGGCTGTAAATGATAATACTATCTACCTATTATTATATAACTGTTTTCCTTATTATTATTATATTATTTAGGTTTCAATAATATCTGCCTGTGTTTCCCTTCCTGGCATGATCCCTATTGTGCCTCCTCCATGTGGCTGTTAAGAGGATTCAGCTGCTGTAGAGGGAACCACAGGTATCAAAGAGAGTCTTACAAGCTGCCTGCAGAACGAGGCTGAACACGAGGGAGCAGGCAATGCTGTTCAATAACCTGTCTAACTAACTGAAGGAGCGCTGCCGGTCCCCGTTGAGCAATGGATTTAATAAAATGCAATGTACTGACATTGTGTATTTGGATCTCCATGTTGAGCCTTTGGGTCAGGAGAATATATTTGAGACATTGAAATTAAAGTCATGTATTATGTAATGTTTTTATTGTAAAGCACTTTGTTATACTATGTTTTTGGAAGGCGTAAATAGAGTTATTATTATTATTATTATTATTATTATTATTATTATAGGACTGTTGCTGATGTATCCTGAAAACGCGCTGTTGTTCACTCAAATACATTTTGTAATTCCAACAATAAAAAATATTTATTTACTTACTATTGTAGCCTTTTACATATAATTTGACAGTTTGACCAAATTAATGGATCATTAGTTGGTTTATGTGCGGTTGCCTGTTGCTACGGTTGTACCAGGTGGTTGTCAGGTGGTTTCCATAAGTGGTTGCTATTGTGTTTATGAATTCTGGGTAGTTGCTTGTGTATCGGACCTATGTATGAGTGCATGGGAACTAGTGGTAATAGTTGAGCAATAATATTGCATTGCAGTGTAGCAGTGTATCTATATGTAAGCCTGTCTTTAATCCTTACATATAGAGACATAAGAATATGAGACAGGCTGACGGGTGAACACAGAGATCGGGCTGACATGGGTCTCCTGTGTCTTGCAGAGAAGTTCGCTGCCTGGAGTGTCTTGTCACATTTTGGTCTGCTTGTCTTCACTTGAACAATACTGAGCTTATGAATAAATAGAAAACTCTTATCACAGTGCGGCCCAATTTCTATAAATATTGTATATGACAGGAGTCACTTTCTTTTGGATGTTTCATATTATATTCAGTTCACTGTAGAATACAATAATAAACAAATGACTTCTTATAAAACTTCAGTGTCCAGCTTGGTTTGAAAACATGTCAAGATCATTTCTATAGGATACTGATTAAAATCTAAACTAATTATGACGTATTTGGGAAATTTCAATTATTATTTATGCCAAATGTCCCTTGGTTGGTCACAGTGCTATATTCAAATTTCTATTAATTGACCATTGGGTTCCTGGAAGAGACACTTTTATATTTACACTTGGTGAAGATGTTTTATGCTTTACAATAAAAAGAAAATAATAAAAGTAGATGAAATCCAAACACAAGATATCCCATTTTGAGTATTTTAAGTAGGACACAGTCACATATATTTTTGTTATTTATGACAGGTGACAGCGCTGTTAGGCAGAAGCTTAGGAACAACATGGGGATTTGAAGAAAATTCCAGAAAATGTTGAAAAACATTTTTTTAACCATGTCATGTTTGTTAGTAAATAGAATTAGAACATAAAGTCGGTCTAAGATGTAACCTTTGGATAAGAATCACCTCCTGTGATCTATACCTTCAAATAAACCCTCATTCAGAGTTTTCCCTGCTCCTGGATGTGTGAGCACACAGGAGTTGAGTATAACAGGAATTGAAACAAAGATACTGAGTTTGTATTTTTCCTATCTTCATCTACCTCTCCTCTGTCGCCCATATCTCACTTCTGACCTCTGGGGAATAAAATAGTGAAACAATAAAGCAATTTATTGACTTACTCTGTGTTGTGAGTGTCAATTGTGTGGAAGAGCTCCTTCAATTCCTCAGATGTCAAGACTCCATCAGAGAAGTAGGCTTTGAATTCATCAAAGGACAATTTTCCATCATCTGGGGAGAGAGCACAAATATAACTTGTCAGCAGAGCTGTCAGGACAGCTCAGTCAGGACTGAAACATCCTGTGAGGTGAGGTTTTCTAAAACATTCCTTCCTAAAAGTACTAATACCACATTGTAAAAATAACATTGTTACAAAAATGTTAAAATTGTCACTTAATTAGTCAGTGTAATCAGGAAAATAAATAAAGTATTAAAAGTGAAAGACAGCTGTTGATGCATTAATGTATAAATTAATGCAACT